GTTGAAAATGCACAAAGTATCTTGGCCAAAGGAGAGACAGAAAAAATGTGCTAGAAAATTAAGATCCACGGAAATATGACAGAAGCGAGAGCCACTCTGCTAGCTCAACAGCTGTTTGGGGAAGTTGTTTTTTTTAAAAATCCCCTGAAGCTCAAGATTTTTGGCCTCCTAAGGGGCCGTGCAAAAAAGAGCTGATGGAAATGTAGGAAAATTGCACCAGATCTTGCTAAAGAAAAGTCGACTTGCGACGTCCTCTGCAATTTTTTTCTTGCTTCCCGCCCACTACATAATAGTAGGTCAGTGTTATTGCCGCTTTACCAACAGGGGAACAAAGTTCACAGATGTGGGGCCTATCCCAGGTTGCTAAGCAATGGCTACTCTAAGACATGTACGAACATAAGAGAAGCCAGTGTTGGATCAGGCCAGTGGCCCATCCAGTCCAACACTCTGTGTCACACAGTGGCCAGAAATACCAGGTGCCATCAGGAGGCCCAGCAGTGGGGCCAGGACACTAGAAGCCCTCCCACTGTTGCCCCCCCCCCAGCACCAAGAATACAGAGCATCCCTTGCCCCAGACTGAAAGTTCCTATCTATACCTTGTGGCCACTGATGGACCTCTGCTCCATATGTTTAGCCATAAGAACATAAGAGAAGCCAATGTTGGATCAGGCCAATGGCCCATCCAGTCCAAGACTCTGTGTCACCCAGTGGCCAAAAATACCAGGTGCCATCAGGAGGTCTAGCAGTGGGGTTCTGCATCCCTGAAACCTGGGATGCAGAACCCAAAAAGGTAAGTCAAACAGAATAGACGGCCAACAGTAAAAACTTAATTTATATATTATGAAAAGATACATGTATTTATTAACAAAGAATTAAAAAAGCATATAAGGGCCCAATCACACCTCATGTAAAAAATCCCAAAATCTAGCACACAAGGGCCAATGGACTTGACCTGACGCATTTTGGCCTGTACAGGCCTTCTTCAGAGGTCAAACATAATGAGGAGCCATATTGGCTTATATCATGGTTACAATAGAATCATACAATTATGCAACATAGATACAAGATGGACCAGAAAAGAATTGTTCCAAAGTGAAACCATTAGGCACAGAATAAACGTATAAATGAGGCCTCCAATGATGCACTCACATGCCAAATGATGTTTCACTGATAATACTTTCTGGTCCAGAAAGTTCCTTCCAATGAGGGTTTAGCCAAAGCGTCCTCAGTAAAATTGGCCTTAAGCAAAGAGCTGTCTGAATTCTGGGACCAAACAGACCAGCCAATCAGAGCAGCTGTTGGGAAGGAGGCGGAGGAAGATTGCCGATACTCCATATCCATCACATGGACGGGCCCTGAGCATGAACTGCCATCAGGGATAATGCCGTCAGCATGACAAATATACAAACACCTCAGCGGAAGCGACAAAGACTCTCCTGTTTTTTTTTAAAAAAAAAGTTTACCTGCTCCATAACTTCAGGTGCCATCCAGCAAGGCGTGCCCACGAAGGTTTTTCTCACTTTATTTCGGGTGATATCGCCGCCGGTGGCTAAAAAAGCACTAACGCCAAAGTCTGAAACATTAAAAAAAAGAGGCTCTTTTAAGAAAACCACATTGTCCCCTCCAAGGGGGGGAAGGGGAGATAACAATTCTCCCCTGCTTGCCATTTGATCTGCAAATTAATGGTGTGGAAGAAATCACATTTGCTGACAATTGACAAAACAGTTACGTTTTCAAGAAAACCCTGGCAGACGGAACTGTACGCTAGACCGAAGTCAACACTCCAGATATGTAAACTGACTACTAATGATGGGCCTCGTTCTTTATTGGATACGAGGAATCGAAAAGACGGAACGTGGCAAAACGAAAAGTCTCTCTTTTTTTTAATGTGCAGACAGGCCTGGAAAGGAGAAGGCATTCATGTGTAGCCACCCCTGGATCTGAGATACCCAGGCACAGGACGCCCTTGCCCAGTGAACAGCGACCAGGGGCTGGCAAGACGAATGTTCTTGTGTACCAGAGAATCCAGCAAACGACATCAAACTCTACTCAGCAACAGCTGCAGGAGGAAGCGGTAGCCCAAAATCCACTCTTAAAACAAGCGATAAGTGAATCCCATGTTTCTGCGAGAGCGCAGAAGACTCGTTGAATGACTGATCTGATGCAGAATCCGGCTGCTGTAGGTTTTAAAAAATACCCAAGTCTCTGGTCCTCATGGGTGCGGAGGGGAGGAGGAGGAGGAGAAGAAGAACCTGGTGCAAGCTGAGATAGGGTGAATCATCATCATCGGAGGAGGAGGAGGAGGAGGAGGAGATTGGATTTATATCCCACCCTTCACTACGTGAAGGCATCTCAGAGTGGCTTACAGCCTCCTTACAGCCAGTTTGGTGTAGTGGTTAAGAGCACAGACTCTAATCTGGGAGAACCGAGTTTGATTCCAAACTCCTCCACTTGCACCTGCTGGATGACCTTGGGCAAGCCATAGTTCTGGCACAGCTTTTCTTGAAAAAGAGCAGTTTCTGTCAGAGCTCTCTCAGCCCCACCTACAGGGTGTCTGTTGTGGGGAGGGGAAGGGAAAGGAGTTTGTAAGTCGCACTGAGACTCCTTTGGGTAGAGAAGGGCGGGGTATAAATCCAATCTCTTCCTCTCTCTTCTTCTCTCCTTTCCCCTCCCCACCTCCTTTCCTATCCCCTCCCCACACCCTGTGAGGTAGGTGGGGCTGAGAGAGTTCTTTCAAGAACTACCCGTGAGAGAACAGCTCTGAGAGAACTTGTGACATGCTTTTCACTTTGGAGGAGGCTTGTAGCTCATCAAAAAAAATTTTGCAGCGTTCGTTGAAGAGAATTTTGGATTAAAACTTTGGTATGTGGCAACCTTGTGCTGAAAATTATTGTTGAAACTCCCTGAGGAAGATTCGGAGGAAGACACGAGCACATGCTATAAAGAGACTTTAAGGAGTCCTCCCTTTTGAAACTTTTATTTAACAGAGGAGGACTATTATTAAAGGTTGTACAATAGCTTTTGAGATTCTTGGAGATGATTTTTGATATTTTTGATTAAGATGATTTATTATAAAATATTTTTCAAAAAATATAACATTATTTATGATATGTTATAATCATCTGTGCACGGTACTTGTTGTATGTTGGTTTTCCAAGGTCATACCAGCAGCTGCATGTGGAGGAGTGGGGAATCAAACACGGTTCTCCCAGATAAGGGTCTGTGCTCCTAACCCCTACACTAAACTGGCTCTCAGATCGGAAGGGGAAAGGTAACACACATGCTATGCCTCTGAAGGCAAAGGTGGCAGCTGTATTACATCTTATTTATTTACGTTAGTTATGGTCTACCTCACAGGGACTCAAGGTGAGTCAGTACAACCAACAAAATGTGAAATTTAGTAACCAATGCATTAGGATTTTAGAATCTGGAACCACCAGAAGGAACTGAGGAATAGCATTAGCATTCACGTGACACATTAAGCCGTACAGAAATTATGTAATAGACTCCTGCTTACAATAAACTAAACGCAGCAGCATAGACCACAGTCTCAGTCGTTGAATCCAAGTCTGTGAAACCATTTTGTACAGGGCCAACCCTATGACCTGTGCATCAGACAGGGGTGGTTCCTAAGTTTGCCTGGGATACTTCCTTGCCTTTCTTTAACCCTCCATGGAATCACAAACAAATCTGTAGTTAAAACATGCTAAGTACGTGCCACAATAATTATACAGAAATCAAAGTCAATAATAATACCAAACGCATATCTCCCTTATAAATAAAAGCCGAATGGTGGTGGCACTTCTCTAGAACATTCCACACGCTCCAAAATCAGTTCGCCCTCTGATCTGTCATTCAGAGGGTCGCCCTATCCACTGGCTGCTTTGCCTGAGTCCTGCCTCTTGCAGCTCTCTAAAGTATCAGATGTATTCACGGTTTCAGAGGTCGTTTGCATATGTGACTTGATTGGCTTTTGCCTCTAACATTCTAAACAGTTTGCTATTCTGAGGTAAAATGTGTCCAATCTCCAGGTGAGGGCTGGAGATCACTCAGAATTACAACTGCTTTCCAGATGGCAGAGATCAGTTCCCCTGGAGAAAATGGTGGGCTCTGTATCCTTATATGCTGCTGAGGTGGCCCCCGTATGATAGCCAATGTGACGTAGCAGTCAGGGCTTCAGAGCACGGGAGAGGCTGCAGGTGTGTGTGGGTGGTGGAAAGCTGAAGAGTGAGGGGGAAATTATGGTAGGTTGATGATTGGCTGGGAAGAAGATAGGGTTGCCAACTCCAGGTGGGAAATTCCTGGAGATGTGAGGGATGGAGCCTGGAGAGGGTGAGATTTCAGGAGGCATGGGACCTCATACAGGTACAAAGCCATAGACTCCACCCTCCAAACCAACCATTCCCTCTGGGGAACCATCGTTGCCAATCTCCAGCTGAGGGCTGAAGATCACTCAAAATTACAACTGTTCTTTAGGTAGCAGAGATCAGTTCCTCTGGAGAAAATGGTGGACTCAGTGTCATTATACCCTGCTGAGGTCGCCACAGCAAATTGACACTGAGTGTCCAAGGCCGGGGCACCCGCCCAGAGCCTCTTTCTAGAGGCTGTTGTATTTATTTCCACAACGGGCCTTTTTCCTAGTATATTATAATGGAGTTATCAATGTTATAAAGAGCAATTATCAAAAAGTAGGTGATAACAAACTCAAACCCACTGTAAGTCACAGCACATCTCCAAAGCAGCAGACTTCCTTCATTAACAGAACAAGCACACAAAAGAAAACAATTGCTTATATAAATTTCACAAGTCCTTGAATTTAAGTCCTAACATCTATACATTGAGGCTTGTAGAAAATGAGATCCATCCCAAATGAAAACTACGCAGTTCTGGACAGCTTCGGACCTGTTCCTTCCTCAGGTAAATCAGGTAAGTCCTCATTGACATACAGTAAATACACTTTTACAAGAGGTCCAGATCGAAATATTTCAATTCGGCTCAGCTCCGTATCTCTCACGAGTCGGAAATACCTCTCTAGCCTGTTTTGACTACAGATTTGTCTGCGAGTCCACTGATTGTTTTTCTGTAGCTCCCCTGCCGCTTGCTTGTTTCTATAACTCTCACCAGAACACAAGCACTTTATGTATTTATCCAAACAGTTCATCCCACTTTTCTCCCAACAACTAGATTCGAGTTCATTGAGAACAACAAGATTTCGGGGGTATAAGCTGGAGAAGACTCTTGAGAGTCCCTTGGACTGCAAGGAGAGATCAAATCAGTCAATCCTAAAAGAAATCAACCCTGACTGTTCCCTGGAAGGCCAGAGACTGAAGCTGAAGCTCAAATACTTTGGCCACCCAATGAGAAGGGAGCCCTCACTGGAGAAGAAGACCCTGATGCTGGGAAAGACTGAAGGTCAAAGAAGACGGGGACGGCAAAGGATGAGATGGATGGACAGTGTTATCGAGGCAACGAACATGAAATTAAGCAAACTCCGGAGCACGACGGAAGACAGGAGGGCCTGGTGTGATGTGTTCCATTGGGTCACGAAGAGTCGGATTCAACTGTGCGACTGAACAACAACCACCAGAAAGCTTTTAAGAATCAAAGCTCCCTTCATTGGATAAAGCTTAAGATAAAGGTAAAGGTTTCCCTTGCTCGAAAGCCAGTCGAATCTGACTCCGTTTCCAAGCCAAAGAGCTAGCGCTGTCCGAAGACGCTTCCATAGTCATGACTAAACGCCGATCTGCACGGGACGCTGTTGCCTTCCCACCAAAGCGGTACCTATTTATCTACTTGCAATTTCTTGCTTTTGAACTGCTAGGTTGGCAGGAGCTGGGGCCAGAGACGGGAGCTCACTCCATCATGTGGCACTCGGGTCTCGAACTGCCGAGCTACAGACCTTCCGTCTGAAACTTACAGTCCAAAAAATCTTACTGGTCTATAAGGGGCTACTGGACTCAAACCTAGCTGTTCTGTGCTGCAGAGCGACATGGCTACCCTCTGAAACACTTTTCCAAACTCTTATAGCTCAGAATTGAAAATCAAACAAAATCCCCACATTAAAACAAGGGTTTCTAAAGATCTGGGATATAGCAGTAATGGACAAGATAGCAATGCAACTGGTAACTGCTGAAGTGCCATCAAAGAGAAATAACTTTGTTGAAAAATATATTCCTTTTTTGGAATAAGTTAAATCCAGATGAATACTGTGATTAACCAAGAAAGTACATGGATTTTGTCTTTTATTACGGATGTGTCGTTTCAACCTTCCATCAAACTTATTGTTAAGAAAGTGCAAGGTTAATGCCTTTACGCTTTTATGTTTGTTGAAATGCTAGTTGTGTCATTGTAATTGAACAACAGAAATTTAAGTTATTTTTAAAAAAAAAACAATTTCTCCAAACAGGGACCCAAAGGTTGCAAAATAAGACATGTATTTCTATGCAAGGGGGGAAAAAATGTGCAAACTTGCATAACTTCACCAAGTTGGTAGAACTCAGCTTTTCTTGGCGTGTAAACTTTTTTTAATATCCTGAGAATAAACCCTCGAGCCCATCTCACCCCCCGCAATCC